CAATATACAAGATTCTGAAGTGCTGCTTCAATGCGAATTTTTGCCTAGAAATCATTTTTCCAAACTAACTTTAGAATGCTTATTGCGGCTCAGCCATTTCGAAGATTCAAGTAGTTTTTTAGTCAAAGTATGCTTAAAATTGTTCTAAAAGCTTATTTGCGAAGTTTCGACGTTCTCTCCCCGAAAACCGTGTATATCTAATTTGGCATAGCAGCCTGCAGTGCCTTAACGTTTTATCGATATTAAACAAAACTCTAGACATGGATGAGGAAAGAAGCTGTAACGACATCGAATTCCATTAGACATTATTACTGTGACAGGCCATCACGACAGATATCCATAAACCACTCACCACGATTGGTACAGGCCTTTTTAGCACCTATCACGATCCTATCTGCGATAAACCACCCTTCATAATTGACACCGTAAGTCACCTACCCATCACGGTAATCGTGCGCCATAAACCACCCATCCCCACATCGCGGGCGAGTAGCGAGACGGCACCATCTGCGACACTTCGCCGCCTCACGGGCACGCGCGCGCGCGCGTCGCCGCTGCCTGGCGGCGACTGCTTACGTCGGCGGAGGTTCGGCGGCGGCGGAGCGGGAGCGGTGGTGGGGGAACTGCGCGCGGGGCTGCGCCGTGCCGCCGCCGCCGCCGCCGCCACCGCCGCCGCTGACGCCCCGGCGCCACTTATGAACCTGGAGCGAGGCGCCGCGTCACTCACTCCGCGTGAACCGTCCCTCGCGAGCGCAGCCCGACGCCCTACCGCGCTGCCGTTGGAATGGCCACGCGGCGCCGCGCGCTCGCCTGCTGACATGCACCACTCCGCGTGTGCTGTCGCCCGCGCCCTGGACCGTCGGAGAAGCAGCCACCGCCCTCGCCGCCGCCGCCTTCACCGCTGCCGCGGGGCCGACGTCGTCGCGCTCGCCGTGAACGTGCCGTCCGCGAGTGCTTGTTCAGTGCGACAGCGTCCGGCCGCGTGTGATTGTTGTTGTTGTTGTTGTTCGGGTGTGTTCGTGTGTGTGCGGCGCTGCAGGTAGCGAAGAAGGATGCGAGCCAACGGGGAGACGTCCGCCTGGGCTGGGCCCATGAACATTTCCGCCATGACCGCGAAAGGACCAATACTCATGCAGGTGAGATCTGGGTCCATTCAGTGAACATGTGTGTGTGTGGAGTTTTGTCGCCCTACAGTGTGTACTCAGTGTTTCTTCGCTGGTTTACTTGCTGTCAGCGGTAGGTCAGAGTTTCTCCCGTCCATATGCAGTAGAATATGTCAATGTTTCGTCATGTTTAACGTGGTTTCTAATTTCCGACAGTTTTTTCCTGCTTTGACATTGATTAGCGCGCCTGCGCCAGTTGTGCCTGACGGACGACGGGCAGCTGTGTTGTCAGCGATGTACTTCCTTGTACGCTGCGTGTGCACGAACATTGACTCAGGCCACGTTTGTCCAGCAACGCGTTTAATTTCCCCGCCTCGATTTCCTCGCCGGCGCGGTGCACTCGGGCCAGCTGTCGGCAAACGCGTGCCTGCCTGGCTGTCGCGCTGGTTTTCCTCGTTTCGCGTGACGTGTGAATCGCGGAGTAAAACTCCAAACCAGCTGCCTTCCGCGAAATGTCTGCCACGCGTCTCTGTCCCCGGTAACTGGCCGCGATTCTCGGAAAGGTACGCGCTTATCGGATTTAATTAGGTGCCAAGCAGGAACTCGGAAGTTTCTTTTTGATTGTTAGCGCGATGGCTGCGCGCCTGAGTGTCAATTTAGCAGAATCTAGCTTCAATTAGTGCTTCAAATAGCTTAGAAAACGTACAGGAAATAATCATTCGTATTGTAAAAAAAGCGTAGGAAGGTATTTTAAATTGTCATTGCGATAAAAATTTACAAAGAAATAATTTAGCGAACAAGTAAATAGCATGCCGTAATAAAACATAATATTAATGGTAATTATGATTATGATATTAACGGTAATGACGATTATGATAATTATATTATTTTGGGAAACGAATTTTGAAATAAAATCTAGTGCGTAATAATTTCGGAAGAAAGAAAGTTGTTTTAACAATGCACGCAACTGAAATAAATACCAAATTATCAAAATTCAAGAACTTACTTAATTTTTTTTAAACACTTGCCTACCAATTGCTTGGGATAACGTCAGCGTAAAACTAAATGTCCGATCTATCGTCTTTAAATTGTTTCAAGACGAGAGATAATGAGATGGGAAAGGTCCAGGAGCTTGTTAGCAGCATAGTCCTGGGTTCGGCGCCAGCAAAAGTATTTACGGCGCGTGCGAGCGAGCGAGCGGGCGGGCGGGCCATGTTTTCGGCGTGTATTTCCTCGTACAGGAATAAGGTCGACGCAGCGGACCGCCACGCCGCCGAGCCGCGCCGTCTCTTTTTTCCTCGTTCTCCCGCTCCGGCGGAGGCGGCGGCGGCCGGGCGCGTGGCAGTACGTAGGGCCGGGCCGGGCCGGGCCGGGTCGGGCCAGGTTGCTCCCCCTCACTGTGCGACGTGTTTTCGGAACCGGCAGGCAGACCTCGCGGTGACTAGTTTTCTTATTTATTTTATTTTTATTTTTCGGGGAGTTCGTCCCGCGACGATGAGGAATATTTGTACAAGGCGAAGGGCCGTTCGGAGGAGGATCCTCCAGGAAGTAAGAGGGGGCGCGGCTCTCCGTCGTCGACGCCTTTTCCGCGAGGCGGGCGGTGGCCGTGGCGGCGGAGGCGAAGGCGGCTCCCGCCCGTGTAAACAGTGCTCATGTGAAGCCCCCAACTGCCTACACGTGGCGTGCGTGCTTTGGGGGGGAGGAGCACTTGTGTGTGTGTGCGTGCGCTGTTCTGAGAGTATTTTTTTTTGGCTTGTTGATTTTCTACGTCCGTGGTATTGATTTGTCTCTCGATGTTGTTTATTTTATTGTTCATCATGTACAGAAGGGGCTTTGGGGGCAAACTCGCGAGTAGTAAGAGTGATTTCCGGGTAGTTCCTTAATTTCTTTCGCAACGTTTGTTTGTCTTCTCGCAATAGTTCGGTTGAGTTTCTAAACGTATTAACCCTTAACAATCTGTAAATAGTCTATGTCTCGTTTACCATTCGTCAGTATTTGCTGCTTTTCCGTTATATTAAAAATAATAATCGATGAAATATCATATGACGGATCACACACTAGTAGATCATTAATTGTAATAAATTGCCCGCGCCGTATCTCAATTATTTACGTTATCATCTCGAATACTCTCTGTCTAAAGAATTACGAAGTGCCCCTCTTTTAGGTTCCATCTTTACTCAATGTTTCCCCGGAAAAAGCAGCAATTATTCCACGTCCAATTCGAAGCCATTGTGGCGAGACTCGGTTCCGTGAACGATTGACGGCTGCTTTCCGGCGGTCGGTTTTCCTGCTATCCCCCGGCGCTGGCGTGCGGGGGCGGCGTTCGCTCGCTCCCTCCCTCGCGTCCTGTCTCCGGCGAACATCGCGCAGCGCCGCGCCCCGCCGCGCCGCGGCATTCAGCCGTGCTTCCTGTGCGTGTGGGGGGGGGGGTGTATCGTTTCCGGGCCGTGACATCCTTGGACGGGGCGGGGGGCGTGATGGGACTGCATGAATGGAAAACTAAATGGGGTCCCGTAAGGTATACTGCTGTTCTGTTGCCAGTGTGCGTGTTTGTGTGTGTGTGAATGTGTGGAAGGTGAGAGGGATATTGAGTTCGAGCTTTGGGCGAAAAATCCCGTTATAAGCTTTTTAAAAAACTTTTTATGGAAATCTTCATAAAATGGATGGATTCTGTCATATTGAAGTTTTAATTGTTATTCAACCATAATAATTGGCACGACTGGAGCTGTACGATCATACTCAGAACGTAGCGGGTACAGACCGCTCAAAATCAAAATAGGGAAAATCATGGCCTATAGGTTGACTCGCGTTTTTGTGACATATTTTTCGGTGTCTACACATGTAATCAAATTAAAAACTATAGATCACAAATTTGTGTATTCCGACGTACGTTTCTTCATTTCTGTCCTTTCTTTCTTTCATCAAGTTAAGCACATACGACAACGCCGGTGAACTAACAATAAGCCGTACGAACTGCATGTCACGCAATAGATCATACGCCAAATGTTAACATCGTGAGTTGCAGATTCCGGCCGTGTCAATTATTTTCTTTGTCATATAATACCACCATAATCCAACTGTAAATAGTTTGTGTATGTATTCAGAGCACGGATGAAATGTTTATGTCGCAAGAGTAGCGGTGCCACAACATTTCTGCTGCACATTGTGTACCCTCGATGAGCATGTTTCCTTCACGATGAGAGAATTTGAGTACTAGCGTGTTTTCCGCGTGCTCTTAAAGTTATCATCTCATCTGATAATTGGGATCTTGTAGCATTTTGGGGTCTGGAGATGAGGAGCCATGATTATGTAATGAGTGCCGCAATGTATTTCCTCCTCTGATACGCCAGTCTGGCTGTAAAGAACTATCGGTACCTATTATAAGACAGAATTTAAGTTCCTTATTTAGTGTCGCTTTTCATTGGAAAACTAAAATAAAAGGAAAATAATAGTGGGGGAGTAATTATTTCAAGAATGTTTCTGGTTTTTCTTTTCTGAAAAGATCTTGTTTACGCTCGCGATGCTAATATTAAGAGGGAAGTTTAGTACGTGGTAGCCCTTTGTCCCTTGCATTATCTCCTCCCTCCTCATTGCAAGAGGAGGAAAAAGACTGAGAAACTTTGGGAGAAAGTTCCGACTGACGAAGCATTCCGAGAATCCCGTGGGGTGTCTCCAGGCTATAGCTAACACTTCGTATAGGTTCTTTCCCCAAATGTCTAATCTCTTTTCAGGGAAAGATCGAAAGCTTAAAGAATATTTGAGTTGGTGTGCGGCAATGTTAAATGTGATTTGTCAGCTCTAAGGAATCATGGAATTCTTCGATTTTACTTTTTTCTGGACGATCTATTTCGTCGGTAATACTGTCATGAAAAATCAAACGATCTGTCTTAGCCAGTAACAATTTTCCTCGATTTCAGTATGTAATCCTACCCACTTAATTAGCTGTAGTTTCACTTTGTTAAGGATCTTCTAAAATCCGTATAAGAAGTTGTACCTAAGGTCTGCTTCAAATAAAATATATCTGCTCTCAAATTAAAGCCAAAGATTGTTTTGCAGAAGAAAACTTCCCGCTTCCTGATTTTAGTCACGAAACGCGCCGGTTTTCCTCCGCGGAAATTCGAGAGTAGTTCGGGACGTTCGAACGAGGAAGCGCTTTCATGAAATGAATAGTCTCGTTGACGTCCTCTTAGGCAGCCGAGTTTCTCTCTCATTTTTCTTTCGAATACGAAAACCAGCGTAGGTGGCACAGGGCAGCAACTGATGCACTGCCTTCGACCGGGAGGTCTCTAGTCTAGCTAGGTTCAGTTCAGTCGCTGTCTGGAGGAGAATGTAGCGGTCGGCTGCTCTGATCGGTCATTTTCATCGGTCATCGGTCATAGATTCTCCTATCAACCCCGGACGAATTCTGGAGCAGGACCCTAACAAAGGGGCCACGGAACACTCGCGATCTTTCCTTCCTCTTCTTTGCCCTATCTTCACTCCTTTCGTACAGGCATTTACACTTTCATGCACTCTAGTACCACACTTCTTGGGACACCAGACGGGAGCTCAGAACTTGTGGAAATGTTGCGTGAATCTCCGCAAGCCGACGTGGAGGTCGGCACTGGATCTCACCTTCCAGCGAGAAAAAGATCACAGCCACCTCCCGTGATAAAACATGATTACACTTACGTGACTTACGACCATGGCACCTGAAAAGACGAAATAATCATGTAACCAATCGAATACATACTACATCTAGGGTGATGCACGAATCTTAACATCAACAACTTATTTGTGTGCATTAAAATAAGTCGCCTCTAAGATCGTGTTATTTCCAAACTCCAGGGTGTAGTTTTAACACATTCTGAATTCAGAATAATTTTTAAAATACCGTTTGATGACGCTGTTCTTGGCCAAGCCTTCATTGAAATTAGTTTGTCAACCCTACAAACTTTTCTGAAAATTAAATCAGTTAAGGAAATAAAAATAAAAATGCATAATTACAATATTCATGTCTGTACAAAATACATATTTATATACACATTAAAGTA